CCCACAAGAGTGTCCTACAAGAGTGTCCTACAAGAGTGTCCTACAAGAGTGTCCCACAAGAGTGTCCTACAAGAGTGTCACTTGGACATATGTAGTTTTTCGAACGTGTTTCCATTCGGGTTCGTGGGTTCCATCTTGTTGTCTGTATGCCGTTGTTGATCATAGGTTGAGAATTCTACCAAACCGCAAGGGCACACTGTTGATTCTGTCTGTCTAGAAGTAGACCAGGGATGGACTTTGGTTTGGTAAAGTTTGTTTGCTTTTCCGGCTGATCGCATGGGTGTCCACTTGCACTTCTAGTAGACTAGGGATGGACTTTGATTTGGTAATAGATATGATTGACGTTTACAGAGCAATTCGATGCTGTTTGCACTCTATGTAGAAACTTAAAGCTGGTACCAACATGTGGGTCAGAATCGGTGTGCCATGGGGAGTGGATCACGGCAACCCACAGAAAACTTTAGAAAACATCAACATGTAGAAGATTGAATCGCAATGGAATAGTGTAGGTTTAGAAACAATCTAGGAGAAAAAGTGCTTGTTTCGAAGCGGTGTGCCATTGTGTTTTCCAAATGGGGTAAGTTCTTGCATTCGTGGGGTAAGCGGTGTGCCATGGGGGTGGGTCAGCACGTCGGGTCGTACAATCCATACTGTAACTGGCCCGCAACGCAGGTTGAGGTCATGCCCAAAAGCAGGTCTTCTTGAGTGGGTTGGAGTGGTGTGGAAAGAGTGTCCATGATGCTATCACCCGCCAGGAGCGAGCTTTGAGCCGCAGAATGGCTTGCAGGATGGGTTGACACTGGTCTGGTACACACATTTCAATCGGAATGGAAAGCGATGGGAATTTGCGGTTGGGACTCGGGACGCATGCCGTCCCAGCACAAGATACAAGATGGATGAGTGATTTCATGTGGAAAGCACCAAGCCCGGGAAGAATGACATACCCCGCCACGAGCCACACTAGACTAATAGTAGCTTGTACACAGCTTCTTTTGCCAGGTCGCCCAGTGCTGCTCGTGGAAAGACTGTCGGGGGCGCATTATGGCAGAGAGAGAGAGAGAGCAAAGTGGAGAGTTCAACATGGAAGTGCATGTTGCCGGATTGTAGAAAGAGGCGACATGATCCTCCTTGAATGGGCACCCTGAGTCGCATCACGAGTTGGCCCCATCCCAAGCATGCTGGACCAGCCTTTCGCTTCATAATCTGGAAGGTCATTGGTTCATCCTTGAAATTTGGGACCCTTCCCCAGTGACAAGAAGGACCTGAAGCGTGGACAAATCAAAAGAGGCATTTGGCCTGTGTTTGTGCCCACCCTTCTGGAGGTCGGACTAGAAGACTTGGGCCGTGCCAAGCGTCGCAACGAGAGCTTGGAAGAATTCTGCTGGGGCCTTGGTGGATCAACGATGGCATTGGTCATTGGTCAAAAAAGGTGCTGCCCTTTGGATTTATATATTATAATATGTATATATATACATAACAGCACTCCTCAAAGCACCCAAACCATGCGCCCTGTGAGAGATGCCCGTAGGGTACAGTTGTTGCAGAAAACTAAAGCATAGACACACTTGTAGCTTCCCTGCAGCTTAGAGGCTTGGAATTAGAGTAGCCTCCTCTACACGACCCCTTGGCCATCCCCTTAGCAAGTTCCTTCATGACATGCGCCAGTATATAATTGTATGAGGCAATGCCATCGCCATGGTTCTTGGGCCCTCCGCCCATAGTGGTTTGCTGGTTTGGCATCCAAAGGCTTCTGTTTTTGCGTGGCAGATTTTTTCTGCTAGTCACAAGGTGCAAGAAGTTGCCTCTCTTACAGCAGCAAGTCTACCTGGGGTGAGTGCAACCCTGAGGTGATCATTGGATGGCTTGGCTGCGGGCAGGCAACCTGTGCACATCTCAGAGGTTTGTTGATGTGGATGACATCCAGCATGTTATCATATGTTATCATTCTTGTGCTTGAATGTTGACTGTCTATTTTCAGCATTGTTTGCACCTTGTCACGGGAGTTGTAAACATGGTAGCATGCAAGGACAAGTGCCGGTACCGGTACCAGTGACCTCCAGACATTCAGCATCAAATGCCCGTCGGATGAGTTCATCGATAGTGATCCTGCACTGTGCAGGGGGAAGAATGCCTTGTGGAACAGTCCTTGTCTAGAAACCGGCCAACTCACAAAACCAGCCTGGACGTGCAGATGAACAAAATGCAACACACACGGGCTGCGAGAACCACAGGGGCTCCTGAACTCAGGCTGAAGGCACTGAATGAAATACGTAGATTTTGAATTGTGATTGCATACCTCGTCAACGTCCTGAACTCCCAATGAAAACTGTTTGGATATTCACCCACTCACCATCACTCACCTGGATTTTACCAGGCACTTCCTGTACCTTTTTGGGTCCCTCACGGTGAATGAATTGACTTGGGTTCAAAACGGCCAACTGCCTGAGGCGGGAGGGTGCAGACGCTGTGGCTGTGTGCCGTTTGAAGCTCAGTGAAACCCAGTTAGATGACCCCTTTATGAACTGATAACGGACATCATTGATCGCATGTTAATCATGAAATGCGTGGAGCTCATGATTGGGGCTGGTTGCTCACGGGCAATAGAGATAGTGACTCCTTCCTGTGGCACCAATCGTTATCGGTACCCCTCTGCTGCACCAGCACCTGCACACCTGGTGAGGTGAGCAGTTTCTGGACTCGGTGGAAGCCATGTTACCTGCTTGGGGTGAACTCACCAGCAGGCGGCACAGGGGAGAAGTGTCTGACATCATTTGCCCAAGATTGCAAGAGTGGGGAAAGGTGTTGGGAGAACTGATGTAGGGTCATTACAGGCCACGTGGGGCAGAAAAAGGTTGGGCTGCATAGAGGAGCTTCGAGGCATATGCTCTGAGAGTGCATAGCTGCTCTCCTTGGCTCAACTCTCCTCTCCACCATAGGAACGACTCACTGAAGTAGTGCATTGACGTTTGGGACACTTGAGAAGGAGTGAAGATTAGCCCCTTGCCTCACCCAGGGAGACACAAATTGCCGTCACCGAAGCAAAGTCGCAGCTCCAGGTGGGATGGGGCCAGGATCAGCACGTCAGTTGGAATGGTGGCGATTTGCTCCTGCGCTCCTCAAAATGCACATCTCATACTCCCCTCACACTCTTTTAGTCTCCTTAATTTTGACCAGCACCTTTCCTGCACGGCTTCAGCTTCATGTATATAAAATGTCCTAGTATACACAGAAATGCGCAGACTTGTCCCCTTCAGCATCGGACCAAGCTCAGTTGTCAGACAGGCCAGCAGTCAGCCCATGTTAGCACACGGGAAAGCTTTCGAGGTGCAAGTTGTTCCATGCTAAGCTGTTAACATGTAATGCAGACGGCTTAGTGACTATATAGAGAAGCCTACCAAACAACAGAGCCCGGTGCTACCCGAAGGTCGAGACTTAGCTAGACTGTGCGGATCTCTATTGTCCCAGCCGCGCACAGCGCACATTTGCTCTAATCTCTGGAACATTCTCCGGATCATTCGTTGATCCGCCCATGCTCCATCCTCATGCCCAACACCTAAAGACTATTACGACTACCTGAAGCCGAACATCTGGATGTGAAAACATGGCGGAGCAATCCACCGTCGTGGAGGTGAATTTTCTGGATCGGCAGCTGAACATCTCGGTGACGACGGGAGCACCTTGGAGGTGACGACGGGACGTTTACGCGTGGGGCTGGCATTCCAGGGCTAAGTTGAAGGTGTTGGTGCAGAAATGGCAGGAGATGTTTAGGATTCGTTTCATTCTGTGTTTTAGTGTGATTGGATGTGGGACGTTCTGCCAGCTAAGGATGGTGAGGATTCGCCGGCAAAGGAGGGCAAAAAGCACATGATAGGACATGTAGTTTTTGATAGTTTTTGGCATTTGTGTTTTGACGCCTCTCAAGCACCCAAAGTCCTCAATGAGGCGGCGGTAATCCCAGTGCATGGATGTTTATAGGTTTTTTGATAGTTCCTGATGATACTACTTGCGCACGAAGCTTGCTCATGATATTTGCAGGAGACTTTGCATATTACCGAGGAGGATGAAAGGTCCTTGAACTTGGCTGCCTTGGCGCAGAAAGTTGCTTGACGTCATGGCCCGTGATGTCTTTTCTTGATTAAGTCCAGTGCTTGAAGTCCATGTAGCATAGCAGCATAGTAGCGATGGCAGAGCATGAGAATATGCATAGCTGCATAGCAAACCTGCATTATCCTGCATTGGCATTGTGAAACCAGCTGCAAGGCAGCCTTCCACTCCCAGCTTTCTTGGTGCAAGATGTGTCATGTCACCTTCCCACCCAACTCAGCACGCACCGAGGTGGCGGAAAGCTCTCAGCTAGGCGTGCTGCCCGAGCAGCTCATGGAGCCACTGCGGGAGCTCCGCGTGGCCGGCGGCCGTGCGACAGGCGCCGTGGAGGAAGCGCCAGGCAGGTTGGTGGGTGGGGGTGGGGGGTGGGTGAGGATTTGTGGCTCACAAAAACCCACCAAATCACGTGACAAATCGTGAGGGTCTCAAGTGACCAGCCGAGGCAAGTGGCAGGAGGCCAACCACAGATGAATCGTGCTTCATCAATCATGCTGAATCAGGCTCCAGGGAGCCTATCAGCCATGTGCTGGCATTCTTGGACAACTTTCCGCATTGAGCACATGTTTGCCCCAATCTGAACTTGATGATACAAGACAGCTTTACGCTACTCCTGAACCCATATGGCCCACAGGTTGAATAAAGGTAAGAGTGGATGGTGGGGCGGTGGCCCCTACCCCAAAACCATTGGGTTATGTATGGTTTGGCTGTTTTTGTTATATAGTATCTTCCAACTCGTCTTGGGGGTTCCCGTCGTTTCAATACACGCAGATTTTGATGAGCAGAGATCAGATGAGCCCGCGCATTGCCCAGTGGAGAAGACCATCTACCTCCGCACTCTGGGTGGGGAGAGCTATGGACCCTTCAGCTCAGCCACTACACATACCGTTGGGCAGCTGAAGCGCCTTGGAGCAAAGGATTTTTGAAGACTCTTTGTGGCCAGGTGCAGGGTGTCAGTGATTGGCCCATTGCCCACTTTGGTAAAGCAAGAGCTCTAGGAAGCACAGAATCAAGGGCGAGAGGTGGATGGATGCTGTCTCGTCATGAGATGTCATGGGGACTGCTTTTCAGATTTTCAGAAGACATTTGTTTGGTTTGGAGGTGCACGCCACGGGATGAACCACCTGTATGGCTGCCGGCTAAGGTCGAAAGTGTCTGAGCAGCTGCAGTGCCCACTGCGCCAGCAGAGACTGGCTTATGGCCAAGAGCTCTTGCCGGACGGTCGGAGGCTGGATGAGATCGGAGGAGGCTGGGGGTGGACGACAGTGACCAAATGGTGATGGTGATGAATATTGTTGAGTTTGGCATCACGACTATTGGTGATGATTTCGCAGTTGACTTTGGTGGGCTGGTCGAGTTGAAGCAATGATACAGACAGATGTTTAGAATACTAAAACTTTAATTGAACCCTTGAAAGCACATGGCCGGTGATTGTTCCCGCCCAGGTCAGACAGTAATTGAATTGCAACTGATGCTTCTGAGCGACCTGTCGCACCATTCGTCGGACGAATTCAATGTTGACTCGTTAGGTGAGATGGGACATGATGGGACCATATTGACCAAGGCATGTGAAGCTCTTTTCCTAATTTGCTGTCATGACTTCAGAAGACTTGACTTCTTCCATTCGCTGTAACTTGTGCCGCGTTCCGTCCTTCGATCATCTGAAGTTGCAAGAGCAGCCCGCCGAGGCTCGGAGAAGTGTCGCGTCGCAGGGCGCCTGCGGCCCATGGCCCCGTGGGAGCTGCAACATGAGATGGAGGCGATTTGGGAGGCAGATCAGCAGGAGGCCCAGACCAGCAGGATGATGAGGGGGTAACTATCGACTATCGGTGAAATGGCGGTGACATGGCCACTTGTGAGACTTTCTTTGTGACTCTGAGGTCAACAAGAGAGAGTATATGAACCTGTGGTATTAATGGTAGGCATTGAATGGCTAAGAGCCACTGTTTTCCACCATGGGGCACACTTGTCTCCCACTTTTCTTGGGAAGTCATTTGATGCAGAAGCAGAGCATGCATAATGACAGGCATTTGGGGGCTTGCTTGTGGCTGCTGTGTTTAGGTGTGAGTTGCCACATTGGTTTCGATGTTGTCATTTTATACCGTTTTCATCCTTTTTCTTTTTGGCCAAGGCGGTTTAGAGGCAGGTCATGTTGGTTGCTTTCCACGAGTTCGATTTGGCCAAACAACAGGCCCGTGTGTGGATGAGGGATGGCTCGTGGCTTGGCAAAGAGGGGTAAGACTGCTTGAGGGCGAGTGGCGAGTGGAGGGTCCTGCAGGTCTCTTTGGGATGCCAACACGCGAGGGCGCACCATATGATTAATATGCGACCCCGTGACCCAGCAGAGTATGCTTGAGCACTTCCACATTTGTTTTCCCATCCCTCCTGTTGAAACATTTGGATGGCAGTGTCAACTCAGGAAGGATGATGCGATAAGCCTCGATTTCGCTTTCGGCCCTGGTGCTCAAAATGAAGATATTTTTTGCTTGGTAGCTGATTTGCCTCAGAAGGCTTTGGAAGGCTGGCTGGAAGAACACATGCCAGGGTGGTGAACCGTGTCCTGCACTTTCAGAGTAGTAGCATACAGCATACATGCAATAGTTAAGGGTGATCACTGAGACCTTCATCAATCTTCCAGTGGTTTGATGTTGACATAGGGCGATTAAACTCATGTGTGTTTCTTCGCATGCTTTGTTTCAAAGTCGCAGGCTTTAGCTCTGCCGTGCTGGCCTTGGGTGCGCGGAAGACTGGCAAGAGCTTCTCGTTGAATGCCCTGGAGCCATCAGAAGGCCTTCTCCCAAGGACGGATCATTCCAAGCCTCACTGTGAACCCAGGCCTTTAGTTCAAACTGCGAGGATGAGCCAAGAGCTGTTTGAAAGAGCGGATGACTCGGTGGTCATAGGCGTGCCTTGATGGGCAGCAGAACGGAACTTGTCAGGGCTGGTGGTGCTTTGAAGTTGTTATTGTTATATATTAGTCCTTGAAATCATGGGACTGGTTTTGCAGGCCCTCACATATTGACTTTCTTTTGTGGGCATGTGATGTGTGATGAGTTGGAGAAGTTGTTTGCTGTTGAGTCAGCTCTCGTCAAGGCTGCCACATTGCCTTTTGCGTGGACTGCTGACCTAGGCTAATGACCGGCTAGTGCGACAATCCTCACCAAAAAAAGCAAGATGTAACGGATACAGACGTGCCCTTGCTACTTAGGTGTCTTTCATGAGTCTCTACCACGAGGACACCTGGGAATCAGTTCGAATGAGACATCTATAGTCTATAGCCTTGTGATGCCTTGTGGCAATTTTTCTTCCGGAACTGCTAGGAAGGATGCCCCATGCAGCAACAGGGCAGCTCAACAGGTCTCAAGCTGTTTTCAGCCACTAGCTCAATCGTTTATACCTAAAATATACATTTCTGTGTGTGTAAATGTTACAAGATGTTACAGTATACAAAAGCTCTTGAATGATTGTTCCGTGCCCCTTCCGCCACCTTTTCTGGATCAAGGCGGACAGGCATTGCAACACCTGCCGTTGTCCCACCTCTAGGACTTCAGGGACCTCTTGAGCCCGCACACGCCTGGCACACCTGGTCGTAACCTCAACCTGCGGGAGTCTCAGACCCGTGGCATCTACGTGCAAGGCGCGGGCACATGCGGGGGCGGGGGGCTGCTGTCAGAGCTGCCACATCCGGAGTGTTTTTCCATAGAAAATGTTAGGAACACGTTAGCAGTTGAGCATGGAACACGTTAGTAGGAGTTTTACAATGAAGCGGCGGGCGGGTGATGATTGCGGAGCTTTGCGTTCCGACGTGGGGTTGGATTGTGTCTTAGCTATATACTTAAAACCTTGGCGGTTTGGTTGACATGGCATGACCTTTTCTCGCGGGGGGCTTCAGATGGCCGTGGAGGTCTTTCCACCCGAGAGGTGAAGTCCCACGAGGACAGGGAGTGGACCTAGAGATGGTGGAACAGCATCGCGCGCCATGGCATGCTCAAGCTGCACAAAGTACACCAGTGGACCCACATTTGATGCCCAACACAGTTGGGATTTGTCAATTCATGTGAAAGGAGAGCGGAGTTCCAAGGGCTGTCCGTGGTACTTGGTGGCACCTTCAACTTGTTGTTTCTTTGTTTGGATCAACACCTTACCCTGTCTTCTGGACCTGCAGGAGCTCTTGCACTTCTTGACCATGGGCCGCACTCAACTCGTGGCCGGGTTGGGCACATGCCATGAGAGAGCAATTTTTTGCGACCAATTGATGCTAATTGCATTGATGGGTAGGAGAGGGATTCATTATGCGTCTATTACAAAAACAAGCCCGTGCAGGGCATAGAACTGACAGAATAAGTCTCCGTTTTTCAAACCCTCTCGTTGAGTTGTCATGTCAGGAACCAGGCATAGATACAGATATACACAGTGGCAGAGTCACAAGCCCATCAGTTTTGACAGCATCTCTTTGACATCAAATCTTAAGCCTTGACTGTAGATCATGAAGTTGTTCAGTCGCTTGTGTGTTTTGTTTTTTGTTATGTTTTGTTCACTTACTGTAGGCTATCTCCAGCATGGTAGACCTGGATAGTCATATTCCTGAGTGGCCCTCTTGTCTCACGTGCAAGTGGCCACCCCCACAAGAAATCAAGCATTGATGGAGGCACCGGCGTTTGTCATGTTTGTTGTTCTTTTCCCACTTGGATTCATTGTTGTTTCGATCAAGTCGGTCTCCACGGTCTGCTGCGTCAGATGGATTGCACCAATATGGAGCTTGACAGCTCAGAGGCGTGGCACTTCCAGTGTGCCCCCCTAATATACAACCCCAGAATCCGCGGTGACGCAACTTTTTCAACCGAAGGGAACAAAGGTTCTACGGTTGGGAGATCCACTCTACGGTTGGGCCCGCCAGGATTATAGCATATTGGCACATGTGGCTAGGACAGCCGACGGCTGATTAAAATTACTGTAATGTAAAAGGCCACGGTACAAGGACATGTTTGTGTGATGTGGTGCCGCAGATGTAGCAGTGCATTCATGGCTCCATCGCTCTGTGCTTTGCAACTCGCAGGTCTTCACCAAAAAAAATAACTTCATTTAGCTTCATGGAATGGCAGAGACTCTTACATTCAATGTGTATCATTATGTATCATTACATAGTCTGACTAGACCTACATTCATAACTGGACTCTCGACCATTCATTTCCGACAAGGACAAGGAGTTACTTTTCCCCACAGAAGCAAGCTACTGCGACCGCAGGTGACCATGATCTTCACGATCTACGTTGCACATTTGTCAGGACATGGTGTGACACAGACCTGATGTCGCCTGTGTTGCACCAGGTCCGTCTGGAAGTTGGCACTCTTTGCAGTCATGACACCGCATGACGAAAGCGGGAATTGTGCAGTCTGTGACACTGTAAGTCACATTTCTTTCCAAGTCCTAATTGACCTTGAAGCCATTGTAGCCGATTGTAGCCCTGTTCACTCTAGACTGGAACTACTTTGTTCCGGCACTTGCCAGAGATGCCAGAAGCCAGACGGTTGCCAACCCCTGCAGGGACTTAACGTCAGCAGGGTCCCAAAAGAGGTCTTAGGAGTTCTATTGAAAAGTGCAGATAAGTGAACCAATTCAATCACTCACCTTCCGTTCGATCAGAATTGAAGACCATTCCAGACATCTTACCAAGGCACCATGATTTTAATGAAGTTCCCAAGAGAGGAACAAGCACCAGCGGGAAACAACGCAGAAGTTGGCAGTTCACACTCGTCCCCAGACATGTTTCGGTTGTCATGATGGTGCAGGAGCTGATGCAAGCCTTGCTCAGATCCAGGTAGTTGAGCTGGCGGATAGTAATAGCAATGCCCAAAGATGGCATGTGGCTGCGCCAAGTGCAGGTGCCCTGCCCCAGTGGGAACATGAAGGTTTGTCAGGATGGAAGGCAGTGATAGGAACCCAGAAAAAGCTTCCACAAAAGCCTGGTTGAAGGATCGAGGGTGGAAATGCTGTTGTTTCAAGGTGATTAATTGAAGAACTATATTAGATAATATTATTCTATGATTGTGTAATACTTCAACAGCTTCGAACTTCGAACCAACCTTTTAATCTAATCTAAGCTGTTTGTTGCACTTTCCTCGACCAAGCTTTACAAGGCCCATTTTAGGCCCATGATGTGGCTGAGCGCATGGTGGAAAGATCTCCATTCTCCAGCACATTTACTAGCACTTTTCGTTCACAAGCCAGGCGCGGCACGATTGCGTGACCGACTGCAAGCGTCCATGAGGACTTCCGGGTGTGACCCGGGGATTCTTGGATTTTCGGGTCAGCCGATTTGAACCGGCGTTCGTCCCAAAGGTTCCTCGGTCGCCGGCCACTTTGTGGAGGACGCTGCAGGATGTGGTCAGTATGCTGACGAGGACGCCTTTCGTCGCGTGGCGCGTTTGCCCGGCTCATCCGTTTTGGGGGTCCCTGCCAAAGACCTTGGAGTCAGCTAGTGGTCACAAGCTGATGAAACGGTGAACATCACCATACCATATCATACCATTGCTTATATATATAGATTGCATAACAACAATTTGCAAGCTTGTGGTTTGCAGCTCAGGTTCAATGTGTGGGGCGCGTATGATACTTCATTCCTGTACATGAGCTGAATTAGCCACATTGAACGCCCTGCCGGAGTGGATAGAACATTCAACAAGACACCAAGACGCCGAGACCCAGAAATGTGTTGAATCCGGTCTCATGATCTGATCCGAAAAATCCTTAATCCGCACCGGCGACTCGAGGAAGCACGGTGATGATCACAAGCATGCCGCAGCATGCCTGAGAAAGGGATCCAAAGGGAATTCGGAGGGATCGACCGACTGCAGGAAGGACCAGCGCCGCCCAATCCCTTACCGCAACAGCAACTTGGGTTGACAATGTGATTGGTCCCCGAGACGGGACATGGATGGACATGGTAATGAATCAAAGTATATAGGCGTAGACTGAAGTAGAATCAGCTGATATCAGCTGTAGCCTGTTTGTTTGTAGAATTCAAGCAGCTTTTTGTGCAGTTTTCCGTGCACAAGCGTATCTATATACTGTAACTTAGATTAGCTATATAATATGGGCTCAGCCTTAAATATTTATTCCATAGGGGGGGTGACCCCCCAGAATAATTTTTTTGGAATAATTTTACAGGAATAATTTTTTGGGACCCCCCTGTCAGAAGGGGGGTCAGGGTCCCTTCAGAATAATTTATGGCTTGATGTCAGGGGGTTCGGAATAATTTGCTGGGACTTTGGCTCAAACAAGATGAAACAACAACTATCACAGAGCAGAAGTGAACATCAGTAGACTAAAGTGGACATAAAGTGGACTGACAAAGAAGACAGCAAGATTGTCCAAAAAAATCAAATGTCTGTATGTTGTAGAGTTTTTTGTGCCACACAGCCGTCACACAGCCATGTCGGAAAAGCTGCCGCAAATACCTTGCCCCTGCAATTGCGGGGTTCCAACCTGTTCCTGGATTGCAAAACAACACAGTATTGTTTATCTTGTTTATTTGATCTTATTTTGAATTTAATTTTGAATAACTTTGATATATCTATTTCTGCCCCCCAGATTGCGGAGATTTATGAATCACAATCGACATGATGTGCCCGCACAAAAGGTACAGAAAAGATGAATGCACCGACATGGAATAGTAAATATTCTGCATGGGTGGCCAACTGCGTTTCTGGGCCTGGCAGAAGTATGTTTTGCTTAGTATATGTTTGAAAAAACACAATTGGGAAATTTAAGTTTTATAAAGTTGTGAGATGAGGGCTCTTCACGGGACGCCTTGGATCGACCAAGTCAAGGTACATGAGAGCACGACAGTCAAAGGGACACGCAGGATGTCAAATCATGTGTGGATCTATTCGCCGAGCTTTCCGGAGAAGGGCTGGTTTTTCACGACTTGTCTTTCGAAGACAATGAATTCGTTGGGCAGCTTGAAGCAACAATTGAAAAGTTCTGAACATATGTTTGCATATTTTTCTAAATATATTTTTTTGGCTTTGGTGTAGGAATGATTTTCATATTGAAGTTTTTGATTATTTTGTTTTTTTGTGATCTAGTATGATCTGGTCTGGTTGCCTAGGGGTTAAAAACGATTTCAAACCAAAGAAATCCATCTCAGGAACTGATCCCCAGAAACCCGCGAAGAAGGACAGTGCGACCACGGATGCTCCGAAAACTTCTGGAACTTTGGATGGCTGATGTTTTTTTTTTGTCTTTTTGAGTTGTCTTGGTTGGTAATACTTTTCCAGTTGATTCTTATATATTCTTATAGCCATTGTGTTCAAGTTTTTTTTCTTATTTGCATTTCATCTCAGGACCTGATGCCCAGCAACCCGCGAAGAAGAACGGCGCGATCAAGCACGAGTCCCATGCTCCGAAAACTTCTGGAACTTTGGATGGCTGATGAATGCTTTGTTT